AGATCATAGTTGGAAATGAAAAAAAGAATGCTAGGTAGTATAGTCAAATACTTTCGCATAAAATGTATTGTGAAAGTTGCACATCAAATTATCAATCTTCTGCACACTTTTTCTCTCAGGGTATTGTAACTACTTAGATTTGTTTGTTCAGCACATTCAGTAAAAAAACTGCTTTGTGATAATTTTTTCTACTTTAGGGTTGATCTTTTTAAGTACGCTAGTCTTGCTAAAACTTCAAAAAATGAGTCCCTAAAATACCTATATTTGCCAGTGCAGAAGTGTTATGCAATAGAGACTGTCACTTCTTTTTAATTTCCTGGATGGATCTGTCGAGGACATACTATACCACGCTAGGAGTTTCCTTAGAGTACTTTGCCTTTACAGCTGCACTTACATGTGCCATGGGAGATGTTGGCCTGGGATGTTTCTTTCGTCTCTCACTCCCTTGCATGGACAGCTAAAGTTTCCATTGCTTTTATATCCGTGCCGATTACTTTTCATCTGTTTCAGTGGTTTGGCAAGACATTAATCACTGGTCTTTTTTGCATTTGGTCTTGATTGTATGAGGACAATCTGATTTTCATTTTGTTGTTTGCTTATGATGACACTGCTCAAGTTTGTATCACAATAAGACTCTGGATGCTGCTCCTATGTATAAATCCAGTTTCCAAAGATCAGTGCGTCCCTGGGAGTGCTGTTTCACATGATGTCTTTTTTTGCTCTTTTTATATACTGTTGGTGTTTCTTAGAGCAGCCTGTAATAGCTGTACAGACAGCCTTTGTGGGAGTTAGCAGTTACACACAGTTAGCATCTCAGTTGTTATAGTAGACTGAAAAGTAAACCATTGTAGGCCACTGAGAAACCTCTGATGAGATGAGGGATTTTTAATCTGTTTTGGGCTTATCTGGAGTTTCTCAGGCATGCCTTTAAGGTTTTCCTCTTCGAGCAACATGCTTAGGGCAGAGAAGGAAGTTGTGACAACTGCATGACCCTGAAGCTAGATAGAGCAAACCGGGAATATTGAGGAAAAGAACTTAAAAGAGGGAACGATGAACTATGAGAGGACCAGAATTGAAAGGCAGCAGGAAAAGGTACTGGGAGAAACAGCCTGGAAAGGAATGGTGTTTTTCCATTCACCATAAGTATTGTTGAAGAAGCAGTATGTAATATGTATTCTTACCATGGCAGTGTTGCAAAAAAACTCCATTTTTAAGTGGAGCATTAAAGATACTGATTGATTAGACCTTTATTTAGAGTTCTTTAATTGTGACTCCAAAGCACAGTTGCACCTATTGCCCTCATTAAAAAACTTGAACATGCTCATGAGAAAACCCCAGGATAGACATTGGAACTGTGTGCATGTTTCAGAAAACAGTTTTGGAATGTATTTAGGCATATCACTTGATTCGTGTTTACATTAAGATTGGGAAGTGGGAAAATGCACGTGTGTTTTCTTTGCCTATCTTCTGCTCTTTCAATTTTATAATAACCTGTATTCATTTCAGTGACCACTTCTTCATGAGGGTTTAAAATTCTGTCGTGTTCGTGATGTTAAAAAAAAAAGATTTGAAATTGCCCATGTCAGATTTCATGTCACTGAAAAAGTACTAAATGAACCAAAGATGTGGCAGTTAGTTAATAAAACTGCTAATGATTATACAGTGTTTCATGAATTAGTCAATTAATATATCCTTAGTAGTCACAAATCTCAGGTAGCTTGTAATCAGTGGTATTGTAACTAACTGCATAATTTTGAATTCAAGGCCACTCACAGTTTGCTGTAACATTGCTGTAACCCACTATGGCTGTTCTGTGTATTACCAACTGGAGTGTTCTAAAGAAGAAAAGCAGTTTCTAATTCAGTAATACGCTTACGTGATTCCTATGGGGGTATCACACAGAGATTGCAATCCATGTTTTGTGACACCTAGTAAAAACAAACAAGTTTGAAATTATTTCTTGATTAACTAAAACTCAATCACGCTACATTTTTGTAGCGTGCAAACGGTGCATCTTCAGCATTGTGCTAAGGAGAATGAGTCAAAAGTAAATCCTTTCACAGGCACATAATAGTATCTAATCATAATAGAGACCAAGTCCGCTGAACTAGTCTGTTAATTTCATTAAGAATGATTTCATTTTGTTTTGTTGTGTTGATGAAATGGGGCCCAAACTGGAAGGTAATGTATCAACCTGAGAGTATTAAGTTTCAGAAGTTATTTGCCTTTTAGGTTGTATTCTTTAGCCTAAGGGTCTTTTCCCTTCTCCTGCCTTTTCTGAATCTGATGCTATTTCCTACATTGTAAAAGCCGCCTGTGCAATCCTTCTCTTCGTGGCCTTCCCCTTATTACTTTCCATTGTTGAATATGCTTCCCTGCTGTACCTGTGCTGTCTGTGGGCTGCTGAATTCGTAGGGCCCTAAGCAGAAAGCCGCTGTCAGCCTCGCAGCTCACTCCGGGTCATGGGCTGCAACACGTAGAACAGTGCTTGCAACTCAGGTCCCAACGCCCGGTGGTGGGCTTCTGTACGGCCATGCAAGTGAAGAATTGCTAGTGAAAATTCGTTCTTGACAAGACACATTCCCAAAACTCATATGAAGCTCCACAGATTTGGTTCACCCTATATGGTGTGAAATGTCCTAAGACTATTGCTTGTCAGATAAATAGGAGGAAACGTGTCTGCTGAACATTCTGGGCTTGAATGGTGCAAATAGCGCATGTTGTGTTATTGTATTGAAACCTGTCACTGCCTGGATTTAATGTATGTTCAGCATCCTTATGATTTCGCGGCTTTGACTCCTATATGCGATTAACTGGTTTCTGTATGATTTGTTTCGTGTGATATACATACGTTTTTATGGGAACTACTCATCCTCTGCTGTTTAGCATTTCAGGGAAGTATTTTGTTTCCTTAATTTGACTGTTTGTATTCAGTATCTTCCAGTGTTTACTATTGTGAAATCTATTTTTTCATATATATGTATAGCAGCAAGTATTACACTGTAGTGTTTACACTGCAGTAATTACACGGTAGCATTGCAAGTCTTCTAACTGTAGTCTAGTGATACTCTTGAAATAATAACCTAATTATTTAAGTCTTATTTCTTGTAGTTTTTTGCTTTCCTTTTATTGTTTACCATTCCAAACCCTCTGTTTCACAATTGCAGCTTGGCAACAGATGAGCTCTTTGCAATTCCAATAACTTTTTTTTTCTTATGAATTGCAAATTTTGGGTAGAGAATTTCGTGGTGTGTGTTGGTATCCTCATAAGTATGGCATCATTACTAAATTTGGAAATCTGTACTCTTAATCTGGCTTACATTAGAAAGAAATGTAAGAAAGTATGTAAAGAAAGTGAAGAAAGAGACCAAGACTCAATTTTAAAGGATTAATTAAAGGATTTTAAATGTTTTGTTTTCTACATAACTGTGAAAAAATGGTTTCAAATCATTGATTAAATCTTGCTCTACTGGAGTTATAGAAACTTCTAATGACATAATCATGTCATATCAGTTGTGTAACTTTGTATGAAGACAGTAAATGCAGACTTCAAAATTTTTGCTGCAGCTATCTACCACTGCTTCAGCCAGGGCAAGTCGGAGTTTTTTTCAGGCAAGGTACCTACAGCACAGATCCAGTATATAAACTCTTGCTCTAGCCAAGAAACACTGTCTGCACAAGTGTTCAGTCCCTTCTTTTAAGATTCAAAGATGGATCTGTCCTCCTCTAAAGCCTTGTTTTAACTGTCCAAAGCTGTTTTCCTCAGATTCTGGGGTAGGAATTACAACTTGGCCTCAACAGAAAGATTGGTTGACCATGTTTCTTAAATTAAATATTGAAATACATTTCCTTTTTGCTTTTCTTTCCAGGATCGGTCCTGAAGGGTCTTTGTTTCTAATTTCACCTAGACAAGATACATTTATTTTGAAACCTTTCAGGATTTTAGATATTTACCATTTTGGCAAAAAGTTAAGCTTTTTTTGGAATTTTTTTTTTTTAATCAAAGTGGACAAAGCCCTGAGCTTTGCTCTCAATAGGCAATGAATCTTGCTGTAATATATAGTTAAATACTCCCCAGTTATATGAGACAGCTAGCTTCAGGTTCTTGTCTGCCTAATTCAGACCAGAACATTGCGGTGATGATTTGTAATCTTAGGTGAACACTCTTACCATCTGTATTCTGGTGTGTATATTACGCATTTGCCTCTGTTCGAAGCTGTTCTGTGGATTTGTTAAGAGATCCAGAGAATGTTACAATGCTCAACATTTTAATTTCCCCTGCAGCAGTTTTGTTCCATCTTGCATCCTGTTGTAGACATGAGGATTCCTTTGCTTTCCAAGAACAAGCCTCAGCTTTTGGGATACCTACTGAAAATACCAAGTTCAATCAGTTACTCATCCACACAGAAAAGATAGCAGAAGGGTATTATTGTCCATAAATGTTTAGGTTCTCAAATTCCTTAGATAGGGAAATGAAACAAAGTTTTATGCACTGTGAGCTTCTACTGTAAGAAGATTTTAGTTAAATAATTAGATTTTCTTTAAATATTGGTGGGATATATATGGTAGCTGTTTCCTCGTTCAGAGAAAGAAAATTTGGACTTGTGCTCTAACTACCAGAGTAATGCCACTCCCCAGATATGGGCTTACCTGCTAGTTTACATGTGCAGATAAAAGATATTGCTGATGTGTGGATGTAGACCTTTATCAGTGCATCTGACGCACTTTTGGAATGATGCCTGTCTTCATTTTGTTTGGTGTAATTATCAAGGAGCAAGTTGTCTTCATTCCAGTTAATACTGGGCTACTTCTTACTGTGGTATATTTTTAGATTTTCTTTTAAAATATTTTCAAGTTCTGTGTCTTGTAACTATAGCACTGAACAGAAAGTTGCTCACAAACTTTTTTGCAATATAAAATGTGGGGTTTTTTTCTTCTTTCCCTGGCATTACCATGTTCTGTTCCTCAGGATGTTTTCTCTTTCTGTGATTCCTTTTCAGCTGCTGCACATAAAGTGTGATAATGATGAACATATGTTTCAAAGACCCTCTACTTTTTTCTGGTGTAACAATGAGGATTCACCTCCTTGTTTAGATATCTCTTCCATTACGCTTACTCCTAGGAGTTCTCCTGACTCTAGACTACCATCTGGATTGTTAATACCACCACCTTCAAAAAGTGGTCTTCCAAAGCCAACCAGTGAATACAGCTGCCCAAGACCTCGTGTAATCCTGCTGTGCGAAAGCTTTTTCTTCTTTTTTTTTTTTTTTTTTGGCTTTCCTATGTTCTCTGTGTATTAACTTGTATAAAAAAATGTGCATTTTGTACAGTAGTTAAAGGACAGACCAGATGTATCTTAGGTTCTTTAGGGATACTCCTAAAATACGGAATTCGCAAAGATTTATCCTTATTTCTACATAGCTTTTTCTCTCCCATGCCCAAAACCTAAATTCTTATTTTCCCAACATGTTTAAATTAATCACCTCTGCGTTATCTATCAATCTCTTGTTAAAATTTTTTATATTAAGAATAGTTATTCAAAACAAACAATTCCAACTTCAAGGACTTTCCCTCTGCACCTGAATTAATAGAAATCAGCCATTAAATACCTTTTAGCATACTTTATAAAAACTCTGTGCAAAATGAAGGTTGAAAATTATTCTTATATACGAAATGGGCATATTGCCTGCTTTTTCCTAGCAATATGCTTGTCTCGCAACTTCTCTCCCATTTGCAAGTAACATTTGGCTGTATTTGTCAAACATCATGGCTTTCTGCATGTGTTCACTAAATGAAAATGCTTCTTGTGCTCATATGTATTCAAAATACACATTTCTTAAAATAACTGAATTATAGTTTTACTTAAACTAGCTGTATCAGTAGTATCAATATGGCCAGTAACATCAACAAAATGGCATATAGACAGGAAATGGTAGTGTAAACTTTGGTTTTGCTTTTTTTTTCCCCCCTAAAAGACTCATTTAAGACTAAACATCAATAGTTTGTTTATTTATGTGGCTTCTAGGTAGCCATAAACACTTAGCAAATAAGGAGAATCTACATTAGCATTTACTGCCTCCCAGACATTCTAGGATTATTCATCAATGTTGACAGGAAATGTAGGTTAATATGTGGCATGTACCTATGCATTAAACCTGCTCCCACCTTCCTGATGGAGACAAAACCTGTCGACAATCAGAGTGAGTTTTGTTTGTGTGAAGAACAGGATATGAGATTCATTGTATGTTTACTTTGGGTCAAGCACATCCATTGCCCTGCTTTGAGTGGGAGCAGATGACATCCAGTGATTTCCCTGACTTAAATTATGCTGGTTCTCTGGCCACGCACAAAGGCTCCAGGAGGTTAATGCAAGGACTATGAGCGTGGTGATAAGAGCATACTGTGTCTAAACAGTATGCACTGAAATGTTTTCACAGCAGGTGATCTTTGAAACTGCAATGCTAAGTCATGTGGAGGTCAGTAAGAGTTCTGTATGTGTAAAAGTCTTAAAAATTAGTTATTTCATTAAGTTAATTCAGCTCTGGTCTTGACAGGAAATAACATGACTAATTTTTTTTAAAATAGAACCCAAAAAAGCAGCATGTTAAATGTGGATTTGTTTTCTTGGTTTTGCTCTGCACTTCAGTATACCTAGATAGAAATATCCCAGGTTTTTGGAGAACCAAACAGTTCTAGATCTCTCCTCATCCAAACTTAAAATATTAAATCAAAACTCCTAAGAAATAGGTAGTGTAGGACTCCAGAGTCTAGTTTTCGCTTTCAGCATGTGTCCAGTGGAAGACTATGGATCAATATCCTTTCCTTCACAGCAGCCACTGGAGCCTCCAGAGATAAATCAGAGTAGTTCAGGACTATCTGTAGACTTGGCTTAGAAATCTCTGCTGTGTTCTGTGAGAGGGCAGCTTCAGTTGCTGGAGTAGAAGCATTAAAGTAAGTAGCATTCCAAAATAAGGTTTATGTCCATGAAACTGTCAAGTGCCAGCAGTGTTAAGGACTACCCACTTGCCAGGTTGTCGTATTCAGGTATTCTGAACAAAAGGATCTGTGTGACTAATTTAACTTGTGCTTAAAAATTTTCATGTGAATATTTTGGTCAAATTGAATCTTATTCAAAAATAGCAGTCTTTGCCTGTGCCTGGCTGTGTAGTCTTTCTAATACACAGACTGTAGGTTTTTTGTATTGTCTAAGTAATAACACTAACGTACAAACTAGTTTTACGTATATATTTTGCCTTCAGTTTGTCAATCTCAGTTTTAATCTGTTTCATCCTCTGTCTTCAGTGTTCAGTTTATTCTGACTTGAGTATCTCCTTTGTGTCCTGAAGGAATGGACTGATGGCAGGAGGAATTAATATTAACAAATAAATATGGCTATAGAATGATAGTAATTGATGGGTTTAGGGTTTCTTTTGCTTATCCAGTATTATTTTTTTTGAAGCCTTCCAAATTACTGGACCTTACTAATTAAATCTTTTCTGTTCCATGTTCAAGGATGAGAGTTTTATTTTGGATATTAATATTCAGTGTATTGCATGCCTAGGTTGTTATGTAGAAAAAAATACATTTGAAGCTTTGATCACACCAGGTTTTTTAGGTTGCCAAATAAGTTAACATGTAAAGAAGAACTAGTAAGCAAGAAATATTGGGATTGTCTCTTTTAATTTTAGCTACTTGGCCTGTGCACTCCAAAGTGTAGCATATTGTTGTTGCAGTATTACCTTAAATGGGTCTTGTGAACGTATCTGTATTCATCCGTCTGCAATGCAGAACTGCTTGTCACCAGCTTTTTCAGGTTTAACTGATACATTTCTGGCTGTACCACAATGGTCTGAAAATGGAAAAACTACAATGCTGCTTACATATTGGAGTTTTAGCATGTCTTAGACTCTGAACTGCAAATGCCATTTGCTTGGTGTCAGGAGCTGGTTTTTGCATGCTGATGGTTATTTTTAACTTTTTTGAAAACGTGGCTCTTATCTGCATGCTGAAGAATTCAGTATTGTGATCTTTCATGTGAAATATTGCCCTAATATTTATTGTCCTTATTGTAGGCAGGCAGTGTGACACCTAAATCACCCTCCACTGACATCTTTGATATGGTTCCCTTTTCTCCCATATCCCCTCAGTCATCAACACCTACTCGCAATGGTACACAGCCTCCTCCAGTACCCAGTAGATCTACAGAGATCAGTAAGTTTTGTAACAACTGACCTAATTTTTGCTTACATTATATTTTTTTTAATAAAGCATCTTTAAAGATTGACGTACATTTTGCATGAGAAGCCAAATACCGTTTTTGTAAATCACATTCAATAATGCCATTTCATTTTTATACCATCTTCCCAAAGTTATTGATGTTGCTGCCAAGTTATATTATAAACAAATTTATTTACTTGCTGAAACTATTATGTAAGCTGGTTGAAGGAGTTCGGTTGGGGATTTTAACTTGGCTTTTCTTTTACAGTATCTTTTCTGTACTTACTTCAAGAAATACTTTTACTTCCTGTTAGTTCTTTCCCTGTCAAGCCACAGTCTAAAGTCTACATTTCTGGGGAAGACAGCAGGTGGAGTAAGTATGGTGGTGATGATGCAGAAGAGGGAGCTGAAGAAAGATGTAGACTGTCCTGGAATACCATTTTTAATACTACTTTTCATATCATCTACTGCTCTGTTTTTCAGTTATACTTGATGAACCTTTCCAGATCTGTGGACCACTCCTAAAAGATCTTCAAAACATGATTAACAATAGCAATTTTGTTTTCCAAAGGTTTGAAAGCAGTTAGGATAAGGTTCTCAGCTTCTCTGGAAATCTTTTAGGAGTCCACAAATTATTTTTAAAAGCTTTGGAAATCCCTTGGGGGAGAGGAGAACGGAGCATATGCAAGCAATGTTAGAAGTTGTAGAAATACCAGTCTGTGCATAGTATTTTCTATCTGTAATGCCTATTTTAGTATGGGTAAGGATCACTAATGTTACTGCTTGCCACCATATAAAACCACATTTGAAGGGTTTCTGCCTATTTTGGGGAATGCTGCTAGTATGTAGAATTTTCAGGTATGAATGAGAGCTGTGCACAGTGTTTACAAACGCCTTGTAAAACTTAAGTCAGTGTGTGTCTTCTCCAGTACCTTATCTACATACTTTCTTTTCCGTTGCTCAGAATGACTGTCACCCTCTAAAGAGAAAGTAGATGTCAAGGCTATTGATTCAATTAAAAATTCCCCTATTTTTTAAGAGTTTTTAAATTAAGTTTAATGGGGTTCTCAAAGGGTATATTAACAATTAAAAACTCTTCTATTAACAATACCTAATATTAACTATTCTTAAACAGCTTAATATTCTACTAGAATATTCTAAAAGAATGTTAGAATATAACTGTTCTATTAAGAGAATGTTTGTGTCTTTGTAAAGAACAACAACAAAAAAATAATCCAAAGACATACCCCCCCGCCAAGAACATATTTTGTGTTTTCAGATTTGTTCCTCTGAAGCTACAGATATTGCCATAAAATCTATCTCAATGTATCAATCTTCAAATACAATAACTTGAATTGACTTGCAGGACAAATTTTTTTTTTTTTTTTTTAGCTGTGTTCCTACTTCAATTCTGTTGAAATTGTGGCTAGAAATCTTGTGGGAGTCAGTGCTCAATGCTGGGTGGCCTTGAAAATTCCAACTTTGCAGGTTTTGTAGTATAGAAAATACTGTAAATAATTTGCTTATTCAGTGATATGTAATATTTAAAATAGTTGTTTCTTCTGCACTTCATTCATTTGCATTAAAGTGATGTTCTTCAGAGATGTGTCATTCAGTGTCTGTTAAGTCTCTGTGCTCCTTGGTGTGCCATGCTTCTGAGAGGTATTACAGAAATACGTAACAGTCCTACACTTTTGATCCCCAGCTCTTTCAGTCTATGTCAGGGTACTTTATCTGTTGAAACTTGTTGCATTCATTGGCTATGTTTGGCATATTTCAAAAATACAATTTGAAATAGTAAGGGAATATTTTCTAATTAAACAAGAATTTACTGTCTTAGATGAGAAAGTTCAGATCCCATAAGTACCTCATTCAAGCTCTGTAATGTTATATTACTATCATAATGTACAATAATACATTGTACATTTATATGGTGTTATTGCTCTCAGTACAAGCAACAAGCTGGCATTTCTTTCTCCAATACAAGTCAGATAGGTGGCAACCAAGAAGAGCCAAAGTTTGGAGTCTCCCATTTTCTGAGGTCGTCTTTTCATGTTGTTATCTCTACTTTCTTTTTCACTGCACTTGAGTGGAGTGTCTTTTTCCATCACTTCTGATGAAATTACAGGGTGATTTTCTGGATTTTATCATTTTTATAACTTTCACCTTCGTCGCATTCAGTAGTAAACAAGGTGAAAGATAAGGGTGCACCATCTGTTTGCTAGCGTCAACCTCCAAGTTGCTCCATTCGTCTAAGTGAGGTTCATCTGCCTGTTACCTAGGGATGGCACGTGTGCCGCTCAAGCAAAATGAGCTTGTTCATCTTACTCATCAACTGACCAGTTTGACAAATTGCCCAAAAATAACACTGCAAAGGAAAAACAGGTGCCATTTGCAGGAAAGCAGTAACAATACCAAGCACTTTGGATTCCTCCAAGACCAAGAGCTTCGTAGGTGATAAGGCACCAGGGTGACAGCTCAGGTATTCATAAAGAGAAATGCCTAGAGTTAGTTTTGCTTGCCAGCAATCCTTTGGGTAGTTTCCCCAGCAAAAATTGGGGGGGTTACTAAATGGTATCTTTTGCTTTGACTAGGTCACAGTACGTAGTTCAAGAAACCAGCATTGTACTACCGGAAGAGTACAACACTGACCTTTGCTTGGAAAGGCTGTTGTCTCCAAAACATATAAGCCTCAAAAAAGGGCAAGGAATCTTGAAATTTTGAGTTCTTATTCAGCATTATACCAGTATGGCTGCTCAGTAAATGTCTGCAAGAAAATTGCATCATTTTTGGACAGGAAGTTGCAGGTACAACAAATATGTGGTGTCTTTTTAGGTAATAATTGCAAAAAAGTGATTGTTTCAAAAACAAAACCCTTTCCAGAATTGTATTTCTACTCAAAATGTCACTAAGAAATATTTCTTTTAACAGAAAGTTCGCGGTAAGCAGCTTGCAGGCTACACATAAGCATTGCAGCCCCATATAGTAATTGCTTAACTGAACAAGTGACCAATGCATAGTTAGCGCAATCAAAAATGCAGTGTTAAAGACCATGCTGCTGCTTCCTCATGGAGTAAGGGATTGCAAACATTCTTTTAAGTTATCTTAAAGGACAGAATTAATTCATTAATTTTAATTCATTAAAGGAGGAATTAATTTATGTGTTTCTTGATGGCACAGCATTATTTTCATAACTCAGAAAAGAACTGGAGAGGAACATTATTGAATTGTTTAACATTCATTTCACTCAAATGCATCTTGAACAATCCAAGGTCACAGTGGGCAGATGTAGAAATCTGCTCCAAGATGCAGTCTTTCCAGAGATATTTAAGAGTCTGTTGTCAGAATAATGGTGGAACCATTTTTTATGCTGTAATAATTCCAAAAGAAAAAAATACAGAGTAGCTTGCAGCTAAGGGAAAGGCTTCCTGGACTTCACTACTCAGCTTATTCCAAATATTTTCTTGGGTGCTTGTGTTGGTGTGATTCATTTTTATTTGTCATCACAGCTGCTCCAGGACATCTGGGGAAAGAATAACTCTGTGCCTGGATGATAGCTAAGGTAAAGAAGATTGGAATGCAAAATTAGAGCAGAAAAGCCAAATATTTGTAGTTTAGTTCAGTAATTTCTAGTTTTGAGTTTATTACGGAGTGCAGGTTGCTACTCTCCAGTATTAAGTGTTTCTTGTGCTGAATATAGATGGGTCACAGAAACAACAATTGATTACCTGTTCATGTCTTTCTGTGGTTTGAGTTGCAGATCTAAAACATCAGCATTTCGTCATTTTGAATTTGTTGGTTGCTTTCCCAAGCTGTGAATTTATTTCCACCCAGAAAGCAATGGGAAAGGGAATTATATGTGTTGTGTGAAAGGATGGTTTTCAAAGGCTTACTGGTTGATGCATATTGGAGAAAGAAATGCCTGTCTGTGCTACAATTATTTTGACTAATGTGCCAGGCAAGATATTCATGTTATAGTTAATCTTCATGCAAATTCTCTTGTCTGAAATAAAAAATTACTGATTTATCCCGTCTTTGATAAAAAGGAGTGCTCCTGTGAACAGTGGTGTTAACACTAGCAGAAAAGCTTATGAAGAACCCATGCAGTAGTGCAGCTCTGTAGTGACTAAATTTGAGTATTTGTCCAGTTTGCACATGTTCTTCAGCTTCTGTTCAAAAGAGAAATACTGATGATGCTATTGAAAATATTTCATGGAACTTTATCCCTCCCTGACTCTTAGAAGTGCAATCTCGCATATAAAACACAAATCTTAAAGGCAGAAAAGCAGTTGTACTATGGGTTTTTTCTGCTGGTTTACTGAAATGGTTAGCAAGTTTTAATAGAGATAGTTCCCAAAATAATAATTTTTCATAGAAACTCAGCTAAGAAATATGTCTCTATTTTGAATTTTATTCTGATAGCGTTTATTAAGCTCTGTCACTTAGAATAAGTTACACTCTGGTTAATTTTAAAGTCTTCCTTCAATAACAATATGAATGAAGTAATCCTTCACCTGAAGGCAGGTGACATTGAAGGAGCTAAAGCTTCTGCCACTCTTCTGCTAATGAGCTCAGAAGTGCTGTCATTAATAAATGCCAAATAATAACACATAAAGGAGATAATATCCATAATAGTGTACAAGCTACTCACTTTCAAAAATAGTAATAAGTCATAGCTCAGTACTAAGAAATGCAAGAGTTGTCTTCTTTACTGTTTTTTCCTAGATACATTCGTTGAATGTTTGCTAAGGCTTAGTGTTGAAACTGGCTGCTTCTAGCTGTCTGACCACACAGAAAACTGTCAGCTCCTTTAAGGGTAAAAAGAACCTATGGAGGAGGAAAAGAAAAAAAAAAAAGAAAAGAAAAAGAAAGCAAATGGACCTACATAATGAACAAATACACTTAGGAGGAGCATAAAGCATAATAACTTTCTGCCCAGTAGAGGTTAAATTGAAAGTCAAAGCTGCTACACATCTGAAGGTTACTTGGTAGGAGCATCGGAGCATATAAGGACACTGGTTATACTGGAGCAGACCCATTTTGGCTGTGAAAGAGGCAAGGGACGAGGTAGATCCTAATTGCTACATTAAATTATCCTAGCTAAATTCTCTTTTGCATGCAGGTGGTCTGCCTCTGCCAGGAAAGATGAGATGTTTTTAGTTGGGGTTTTTTTTTTTTGGCTCAAGCGGGCTTTTGGAATAGGGCTTTCCGATCTGGGCCATCTCCTGGTCCCATGTGATAATTGTAGCTGTTAGCCACAGTTTGTGAAATATGTAATTAATCAAGTTTCTGCTTGTTTCTGTACTTTATTATGGGAGTGAATGCTGGTAGCTGTTCATTATTTAAAATGCTTATTGTGCAGCCTAATAACACCTAATTGATCAGGTCAAAACCCATGGCTGGGTTTTCAAAGGCTGATGTGCACAATAAATGTTGACGAGCCTAGGCAAGCACCGGTCTAAAATTCTCACTCGAAGGATGCCAAATTAAAGACATCTATTTAGCTATATGTATGTGCTTCAGCGTTGATAACATGACGGGCAACACTGCAACATGGATTTTGCATCAAGTAGTCAGCTTCCATATCTTGGATGTTAAGGGTAAAATTTTGTGCTTAACCAGAAAACTAGCTAGTCATTTCAGAGATAATAATGCCCCTCTTACTCTTAAAGCTCGTAAGCTAACATTGTTTTAAGGTAGGTAGTATGCTCACCAGCTTTCTTGCTGGACAACCATGAAAGTTAGGAGATAAGATACGATTTTCATTTTCTCTCCAGCATTGACAAGACCATATTAACCTGGTTCCGCAAATTTTGCAATCAGTGCAGTTGGATTGGGTTAGCAAAATTATTTTCTTACTGCTTTAGTTCAACTAAAACAGTGGGATAGAAAAAGTCTGTATAGATGGCACCATTACATGTAGAGAAAAAAAAATTATTACTGAGGAAGAAAAAGAAATTTAAAAAAAACCACAAAATATTTGGGCTGTCATTTGTGAAGAACTAGCATTGCGCTGTTCTAATAAGAAAAAAAAAAATGTATTGGAGGTATTTCTTCTTGTCCAGATAAAGAAGGAAAGAAACAAAAAGCCCCCTGACCACTAGAAAGAGTACTACAGTTAAGTGAGAAACTACAGTATTGAAAGAGAGAAACTTGCAACCAGTCTATTTATGCATCCAGATTTAGTGGAATTTTAGGGTAAGGGACTTTTTGTGGTCCTATGGTTTTTTTTATTCTTTCTCCCTTTTTTGACTTGATCTTATCCAAGATTTTAACACCTTGACACTTAGTTTAGTTACTGCCAGCTGTGCACTGAGGAACTCTATCCAATGAAGCCATGAGTAAGAGTAGTTGCTTGTCCTTACAAAGACATCCTTAACGTGATGGCGAGAAGTAGCAGACAGGGGATGTGAAGGCTAGTTTGTTTGTGAGAATATGTTTCTGACATGATGTTAAGATGAAATTTGACAACTAATGTCCAGTTGTTCCCTCCTCATTTATGAAACTCGTTATACATACTGATTCCAGAATGCACTTCAGTAGGAGATGCCCTCCTCAAATTGCAAATTCTCATTGGATCTCTAAAATTCCTCTAGAAGGAACAAGCATTAATGAAAGCTAAGTAGAGGCTTAAACAGAAATTGATGGTGTTCTTGGAAAAATGTTGAAGTATTAAACTTTGGAAAATTAATCAAGACCTGGCTTTCAAATTGGGATGTTAAAAGTTGTGGTTAATTATTTGCATATCTGGAGGTGCTGCTATTCAACTTGTAAGGAGATGGAAGGTGACGTTTTTAAAGTGCTGTTGTCGTAGCCCATACCTTTTCCCTCAGTGACTCATTTTTCTGTTGTTCCAGAGAGAGACCTTTTTGGAGCAGAACCTTTTGACCCTTTTAGCTGCGGAGCAGGAGATTTCCCTCCAGACATTCAGTCCAAACTAGATGAGATGCAGGTAACTACCGAGTTATCATTTATACAGTTTTCTATGGCTGTATGACTATTCTTGAAATACATGTTTACAGTGTTCTGAAAATGTATCCAAACTGCACACAGAAAAACATAGAAAAAAAACCTGTATCTGACTATTCCTTTTGTACATATATCTCATGGTCTTTTGAGTTGGAGCTTGAATTTGGCTGAAGATCCTTACATGGTATTAATGCGGATACCTGCACTAATTAAGGGTTTCTCAGCAGTCTAATCAAAATGGATACTGCTACTCCTGCCTGGGAAGGGACTGAGTGAGCTGAAAGAGGGAGCTGAGACGAGCGCCCTACAGATACATTGATCTTGTTACTCTTCAGTCCCAGCAATCACCAGTATACCCTCATCTTTCCCTCAGTGGCATCAGTCTGTTTTTTCATAGCATTGGCACAGGCAAAGTACGTGCTTAAGGGGCCAGGTCAATTTTCTGCTGCCTTTAAAAACAGCTCTCTTTGACTATGGTAGTCTGAGACAACTAAACTATTGAGAACTGATTCAAGAATTCTGAACTGATGCATGTTTTATCAGAAAATGTTTGTTGATTCTGAAACACTCAACAGTATCTGTTCAGTTATTGACCCAATTTTGAAGCAATTCTAGGAGCCTTCAAGTTTTGGAATAAATCATTCTTCAGTCAGACTTTCCAAATTGCTAGTCCCTTGCCACCTTGCTTATCTCGTGTTTTTTCAGCAGCCCGCCAGCAAAATGGAAAGCTGAAAACACTGGGAACTTGAA